CATCCCTGCCCAGGGAAACCATTTGTGATTCAAGCCAATGCCAGCGACATGGTAGTCGGAGTGGTACTGTTTTCACTCTGAAAAAACCTTCCGAAACGTATAAAAAACAAGCAGATAAAAAAGGGCTCTCCAGAGGTCATTCCAGGTTGAGGAAAAAGTTTACTTATCCACAAAATATTTACAACTCAAGTTGCTTAATAAGAAATTGGGACCAGAGACTTCTGGTTTGCCAACACGGCCGCCATGGACATTTGGAAGGTGAACTCCATCTTCCGCATCCAGTTTCGCTTTGCTGGGGGACCCTGGAAAGGGTCAAAAGTCACCCTGTAGGGGCAACCAGTAAGAAAGGGATCCTGCTGGATCGTGGAAGAGTGGCAGCTCTTCCACTATATCTGGCACAGCCCTCCAAACTGGTGGATGAAAGACCACCCATAGTAATATGGCTCCTCACTAGGCTGTAGACAGCCGAAGTCACATTTACCACCAGGCGCCTACAAAGCAGTTTGGATGAGACTGGGTGAGATCTACCTCTCTTAAATCCCATTATCTTTTTTTACCTGCATAAGCTGCCTAAAGTAGGGCTTTTCAACCTTTTCACCCATTGTACCACTTTTAGGATATGGAAATATCCGAGTACCACCAGTTGCCTAGCAAGATGTCAAAAATCTGATGACCCCCCCCCCCAAAAGGAAAAAAGTGATAAAGTACAGGTAGTCTCAACTTACAACAGTTCGCTTAGTGACTGTTTGAAGTTACAATGGCACTGAAAAAAGTGTTCCCCCAAGGCACAGCCGAGCAAGACACCTGCCTGCCCACCCGGTAGCGCTCTTCCTCCTATCCGAGATTTTCATTGTTGTGAGCTTTTCTTTTGGGAATTGTCAGCGGGGGTGGGGTGGGAGGTGTTTAGTTTTTATTCCCTCCATCTCTTGGGTGGTTGCAGCAGGTTTTGGTCACTTCACACGACCCTGGGACATTATGACCATCATAAATATGAATCAGTTGCCAAGCATCTGAATGTAAATCACAAGACCCTGGAGATGCTGCAGCATTCCAGCTGATCGGTGCTTCCTCTGGGCTCAGCAGAAGTGCCAGGAACAGCACCGAGTTCCAGCTGGAGCCTGGCACTGACCCTGGTGCTTCTGCTGAGCCCTGACAGACCTGCAGCTCCAGCCATCTCTCGCTCAGGCTTGTGCGGTGCTGCCACCAGTTCACCTCATTCACCTCCCCTGCTACCACTTTTCTAGGATGGTCGCATACCACCTGCCAGGTGCCAATGTACCACAGGTGGTACCTGTACCACTGGTTGAAAAGCCCTGGCCTAAAGGGAAGGGGAATCCTATCCCACTCTCTAAAAACAGCGGTGACTGACTATCCAGGGGAGTTTAAAACACTGAAAGAATAACCTGATTTTAACTGACTTTAATTGGACTTTAATTTTTCTAACGTTTGAGGACTAAAAGATTCCTTATTTTTTATTCTATTTTTATTGAAGATTTGGGTTTTTATCTCTAAAAAGAAGTAAAATTCTTAAATGTATGGGTGACACCTTGTGGCTAAACCTGATGTTACAATTTGTTATTGCCTTACAGAGACTTGGCTCACAGCCCTGATTATAGATAAGATTCCTGCAACCTTGGCAGATATTAGCTTTGAGAAGCCCAGCTGTGTTCTATACTCAGTGATAAAACTACTCTTATTCTGATGAAATAAGAGGCTACAGAAAAGAACAAGATGTCAGCCCAGATATACAAATTCAAACTCTGACTACAACTAAAGAATCATCTGTACCAGGGGTAGTCAACCTTTTTATACCTACCGCCCACTTTTGTATCTCTGTTAGTAGTAAAATTTTCCAACCTCCCACTGGTTCCACAGTAATGGCGATTTATAAAGTAGGGAAGTAACTTTATTTTATAAAATTTATAAAGCAGAGTTACAGCAAGTTAAAGCATATAATAATAATTACTTACCAAATACTTTATGTCGTACTTTCGCTAAGTTTGGCAGAATAAATCTTTATAAAACAACTTACTGTAGTTAAACCTAATCTTTTTATTTATACTTTGCATAAATAGAAGCATGAAGTCTGATGAAATTGCATTTAATTAATTAAATTATTAATGAGATCCCTGAGGCTGATGCTGCGAAACTAAATACTGGATATCTGGCTCAATTTTTGTAAGGAACAAACGAAGGTCTCTTTTTTCAGAAATATTCAGGCAGTTTCTTTGGTCATAATATGATTAACAGCACTAAAGCCTGATTCCACAAGATATGAGGTAGGGAAAGGTATCAATAAACTGAATATCATTTTCCACGTATTTGGATATAAGACAGGCATTTTTTTACTTTGCCATAGGTTTTCATATCCACCACTATCGAATTTATGTTTACTTTTTTCATCATATCTAATTTCTAACAGTTCTTCTTGGTAAGTTGTACCAGCCTCTTCAATATTTGCGGTAAAAGGATTTTTCATCCAGTCATACACCTTCAATTTCAAAATATCTTCAAATTGTTTTTCAATGTCCAATTTAAGTTCATTGAGGAGGCTACTGAATCTGTCAATATCCTCTGGAGTTACATCATCTTTTATAGACGATAATTCAGGAAACTGATGAAATTCTCCCTTCAATAGATTATAATTAAGTAGTTCAAGTTTGTCAATAAATAATGACGCAATACTTTGGCAACCTATAAGAGTTTTATTAGCTCCTTGAAGCTGCAAATTGACATCATGAAATCTCTTGAAAATATCTGCCAAATAAAAGGCATCATTCTTTACTGTTTTTAACTGTTCACACAGATTGGTCTCATTATTACTTTCAAAAACTTGTATGACACTATCATATAATGCTACAAAACGAGCCAAAGATGTACCCTTTAACAGCCAACAAACTTCTGTGTGTGCAAAAGTAACATAATAAAATCTTCATTATTGTCCTGGCAAAGCTGTCAAAATATTCTTTGCATTGCATATCATTTTTTGCATTGGATTTGATCTTGTTTATGGCTCAAATTATTATAGTTAATGATGAATGGAGACTTGTACTTAGATATTTTCCTACAAGATGTTGTCTGTGCACCACACAATGAATACATAAAATATTTGGCACTTCTTCCTTCAAATAAGCAACAAATCCACAATAGCGACCTACCATTGATGGTGCTCCATCAGTAGCGCATGCAACAATATTATTCAAATATTATTTGTATTATTTGTATTATTTTTTGTAAAGTATGATTTCACAGTATTAAATATAGATAATCCTCTTGTATCTGTAATGAGATTTATTGCGAATAGCATTTCTTCTCGTAATGTATTGTTTTCATCAAAATAACATACATATGCCATTAATAAAGCATTATTATCTGCAGTGGTAGACTCATCCAATTGCATGGAAAATGAAAACTTTTGGAGAATACTTATCAGGTTTTTTTCAACATTAACTGCCATTTTTTCAATTTGTCGCTTTCCTGTGCTATCGCTTAGGGGCAACGTTTTTAAAATTTCAGGTATATCCTGATGCATTACTGTTGAGATAAATTCTTTTTTAGAGGGTATTATTACAGTTTCTCCAATATTATAGCTTTTACCACTTTTTGCAATTAATTGTGAAATGCAATAAGTGGTAATTAATCCATCTTCATTCGCTGCATGTTGTTTCTTAAATGATGCAATGATTGTTGAACAATTTTGAAATTTTTTATCAAAATATTTTTCCTGAAAATATTCAATGGGCTTGTCCTTATCATTTGGATGCTTTGTAGAAGGACTTGGCTTCATTGCTTCATTGGATAATGTTTTATGACACAATAAACACATTGGATCTTGTTTATTTACAACAGATTCTATGAAACCCATCTTCAGATACTCTGGCAAATAGCCACGAGCATATTTCTTTTTTTGAGACATGGACTCACAATATTTTGTTTGAAGCTGTAGGCAAGTGCTCACTCTCACAAATCTAACTGCGTACTGACCAGTGCGACTGCAAACAAAAGAGCCTGCACCATGTATCATCGTCTGCGCATGCCTCTTGCGCATCGTGGATTGGGTTTGGGGGGTGCTGGCTATCAGCTCTGCTTGTCTGTTACAGCTGGGCGGTGTGGGGGGAGATGCGCGAGCTATTCTGAGATGAGGCTTTTTTGTTTGCGGTCGCACTATAGCGCCATTTAGTTTCACTTACATAACATGAACTAAACCTATGTGTGGGTGATACAAATAGTATATTTTCAGAAATTTAAATTGTTCCAGGGAATTTTATGAAAACCTAATGAAAATGTTTTTAAATAATGCTATGGAAATTTTTTTTAAAGTCAATTAAATTTAAAAAAAGGAAAGTGATTCTGTATCGGACACCATGAAAGCTGGAACGCCCACTAGTGGGCAGTAGGGACCAGGTTGACTACCACTGCTTTAGACCAATGAGTATCAGCATGGCAAGGAGTGTGGGACAATGCTATGAAAGCATTGAAAATAGCCTCAGAAACATATAAAAAACAGGTTGATAAGGGCTCCTCAGAGGTCATTTTGCATGGGGAAAAAGGTTCATCTGTCCACAAAGTATTTAAGACTCAAATTGCCTAGTAAAAAATTGGGACCAAAATACCTGGGTTCTTTCTCCATAGTGCGAATTCTGAACCCAGTTACTGTAGAATTAAAACTCCCTTGGCTTTTAGGGAGGATTCACCCTGTATTTCACTGCAGCTTGTTTGAAACCTTTCAGGGAATCAACTTTAAGACCCCCTCCAAAGAAAGCACCTGGGCCCCTTATGGCGACTGGGGAGACTCATTACAAGGTGAAACTGATTCTCGATGCCAGCTTGTATAAAGGAAAATTGCAATATTTGGTGCAATGGAAGGGCTATCCATTATCTGAGGCTATTTGGGTGAAATTTACTGACATAAAAGCTGATAGACTTGTTTGTAAATTTTATGATAAACATCTGAACAATCCAAGGGGACATCCTTAACTATGCTTTTGTTTGATTTCCAGGACTTCTCCTTTCTGTTAAGGGGGCTGGATGTCAGCGCTGCGGCAATTGAGAAAACTGTAGCCATTTTACCTTTTGCTTTCATTGTGCTTCTTTCTGCTTTCTGGGATTTTAGATGTAGAAGGGGGTAGGGGGGAATATTTGAGCATTTTCAGTTAGCCATAACAATTTTAGCTATGAGTGAACTCAAGATAAAGTTTTGGTGGGCTGAGAAGTTGGGAGGAGAGCCTGTGTTTTGGATTAATTGGTGAATGTGATTTATGATAGTCTTTCTAAGATGGGAATTGCAACTTGTTACTTTGTATCTGGGGAGGGAACTTTAGTTGTGGGTTCAACTATGTAAGTGCCGATACTTTATTTCCTGAATAAAATGTTCTTTAAGGAAGAACTCTTTGCCTTGAAATTCTTTTAATTGGTTTCATCTATCAGAACCATGACAATATGACAAAGATATTAAACAGTATGGAGTTTATAAAGAGCAGACTATGTTTGACCAGACATTACTAACTTCCAATGAAAAGTTAATTAAAAAAGTGTACAATTTCTTATTAAATCTGAAAATGGAAGATGAACAAGTAAAAGAGATGATGATAGTATGGGGAAAGAATTTTCGATATAATATAGACTTAGATAAGTGGCAAAGTTTGTGGGAAAGAAACTATAAATTGACAATGTCAGTTTCATATAAAGAAAACTTATACAAAATGTTCTATAGATGGCACTTGCCACCAACAAGATTAGCAAAAATGTTTTAAAAATATGTCAGAGAAATGTTGGAAATGTAAACACAAACCAGGTACTTATTATCATATGTGGTGGACATGTGTTAAAGCAAGGAGATATTGGACAAAAAATCACACTTGGTTAGAAAAAATGTTAAACACATAGACTATAAACCTGAATTTTTTTATCAGGTATAATGCCAGAAAACTCGATAAGCAAAGTACATACCTGATTTTACATGTGATAACAGTGGCAAGAATTATATTTGCAAAATATTGGAAGAACAAAAAAATACCACCAGAAGAAGAAATAATTAAAAAAATACTAGACTGTGCGGAAGTGGACAGACTTACTTTAAGGTTGAAAGAAAAAGAAGAAACATAATATTTTCAAACTTGGGCCCTATTTTATCTTTTTTATTGAAAAAGTTTTATTGACAATTAAAAAAAAAAATTAAACCCACAAACCCACCCACCCCACCCCTCTACCCCCCCACTTCCCAGAGTCAAGTACAGGGTTATTACAAACATATTAAACAAAATCTAATTAAATTTAACAAATTATACAATAACTAAATTCATACTTAACCCTTAACTCCCTTTAAACCTTAATATCAGAATATTATAAAGAAATCCATTTTAAAACAATTATTATAAAGAACCATAATAACAGTAAATAAACTAAATAATTTCCATTATAAAATTCTATTAATAATAATTATTATTTAAAATTTAATCATAAAATAAATGGAACATTTTAGTTCCATATTTAATCAGAATATAATCTATCCATCTTCTCCATACCATAATGTATCTTTCTTGTGTATGATCCTTTAAATAAGCAGAAATTTTAGCCATTTCTGCTAAATTAGAAACCTTAAGTGTCCATTCTTCTATAGTAGGCAACAAATCTTTCTTTCAATATTGACCTACCAATAGCCTTGCTATTGACCTACCAATAGCCTTGCTATTGAATCTTGTTACTAGATTCAATATTAAAATAGTTTCTTTAACATCAAAATCCTCAAAAATCCCTAGTAAAAATAGTTGAGGAGTAAATTTTATCTTCCTTTTAAAAAATCTTTTGAATGTTCCACCAAATCATAATCCAAAAAGCCTTAATATTTTTACAAGTCCACCAAACATGAAAATAAGTTGCGTCAGAACTACCGCATCTCCAACATCTAGGCTGTAAATTAGGATGCATACAAGACAACTTTTTAGGATCCAAATGCCACCTATAAAACATTTTGTAAAAATTTTCCCTTAAATTTTGAGCCTGTGTAAATTTAACATTTCTAATCCAAATTATCTCCCATAAATCCAATGGGATCAGTTCCTGGATATTCTGAGCCCATTTAACCATACAATCTTTAACCAAATCCCTTTCCGAGTCCAATTCTTTTAACGCATTATAAATTCTTTTTATGTGGGCCTGATTCTGATCTTTAATCTGAATTACCAAATTTTCATCTCCTAATGTTTATTCCAACTTTCTTATCTAAAGTCCACCTATCCACTATTTGTAAATACTGGAACCATGACTGTAAAATATTTTCTTGCCTTAATACATCTAAAGATTTTAATTGCCAGTCAGTACCTGATCAAATAAGTAATTCTTTATACAGAATTATTTCAAAATTCATCCCCTTAGAAATCCCCTCAATTGCATGTCCAGGAATCCCTCAAATAGGTATTTTGTAATTTAACCTGTAATAATACTTCTTCCAGACTCGAAGTAAGGTATTTCTTAAAATATGCGATTTAAAAGCTTGATCTACTTTCTTATTGAAAATTAAATATGCATGCCAACCATATAATAAATCCCACCCTTCAAGAGAAAGAATATTTTTGTTTGTTAGATTAAGCCAATCACTTATCAAAGTTAGTGTGGCTGCATCATAATATAATTTCAAATTAGGTGCCTTAAGCCCTCCTCTTTCTCGAGCATCTTGCAAAATCTTAAACTTCACCCTTGGTTTCTTCCCAACCCAAATAAATTTATTGATACCCTTCTGCCACTCATCCAAATTAGCATCAAATGGAAATTTGAAACAACAAAAAAAGAAACTTTGGTAGAACATTTATTTTTACAGCTGAAATTCTCCCCAACAATGACAGTTGTAATTTTTTCCAATCATTTAGATCCTTTTGTACTTTTGTCCATAATAATTCATAATTATTCTTATATAATTTTCCATTAGAAGCAGTTTTATATATACTCCCAAATATTTAACCTTTTTCACTATCTGAAAACCTGTAAGTTTAACTAAAATTTCATTTTCCCTCTCAGTCATATTCTTAGATAATATTTTAGTCTTATTATTATTTACTTTAAAACCAGAAACTTTCCCATATTGAGTTATAAGTTCCAACAAATGACTAACCAATCGAGTTGGTTGTAATAAAGTTAAAACCAAATCATCCGCAAAAGCTCTCAATCTATACTCATTCTTATTTATTTTTATTCCCTTAAGTACAGTTGACTCTCGAATCTGAATTAACAAAATCTCCATTGTTAAAACAAATAACAATGGGGATAATGGACATCCTTGTCTTGTACCCTTTTCAATATTAAAAGTCTCTGTCAATCCCCCATTAATAATAATTTGAGCAGACTGTTGTTGATATATAGCCTTGAGAGCATATAAAAACTTATCTCCAAAATTCATTTTCTCTATAAGTAAAAATAAAAATTGCCAATCTAATTGATCAAAAGCTTTCTCAGCATCCAAAAATATAAAAGCCAGAGGGATCTGATTATTCTTATCCAAATACTCAATTAAGTTAATTATTTGTCTTACATTATATTTCATATATCTTCCTGTTATAAATCCAGACTGATCACTATGAATTAAATCCTTCATAACCTGCATTAATCTATTTGCCAAGATTTTAGAAAACAAATCTTATAATCTGTATTTAAAAGAGATATAGGAACCTAATTCTTAGGTTCAGTAAGATCTTGATCCTCTTTCTGGATCAATGATATAAAAGCCGTTCTCCAGGAAGGGGGAACCGGAGCTCACAGCAAAATACTATTAAAAAGTTCTTTTAATGGTTCTATCATCTCTTCAGATAACATTTTATAATACTTTGCTGTTAGTCCATCTGTACCCGGGGCCTTTCCCACCTTTAACTGCTTAATAGCTAAACCAATTTCCTCTGAAATTAAACAATTCATCACATTTTGTTGTTCATTAGAAAGTTTAGGAAAATGTACGCATAGCACAATTCAATATGTGGCTAAAGGAGTGGTGTAAAGGGGAAGGCTTTGGATATATTAGTCACGATGTCAGTAGCTGGTCCAATCAAAAGATGTACAAAAGAGATGGTTTGCATCCATCAAAAAAAGGGACTGAGTTACTCGGCTATAAATTCACAGATTTTCTGGAGGGAAATTTAAACTAAACAGCGGGGACAGGGAGTTAATTGATACGGAACAACCCTGTCCCCGGCAATTTAAAAACTATAGGGCTATCAGTGCATGTAGCACAGATGTGTGTGTGGACAAGAATACCAACCTTGCTACCAATCAAAATGAAGCCTCTAATAGCGAGTGCCATATAAAGTGCACTAACCAAATAGGTGGTAAGACAATAGGGGAACTCAGGCACCACACAGGTTATGTAGAAAGGAAACACAGGGCCACCCACAAAGGACTCAAATGTTTATACACCAATGCACAGAGTATGAACAGCAAACAGGGTGAACTAGAAATTCAGGTTAATGAGGGCAGATACGATATTGTTGCCATTACGGAAACATGGTGGGATGAAACTCACACATGGAACACACAGCTAGAGGGATTTAAATTATTTAAAAGAAACAGACCAAATAAAAGAGGAGGTGGAGTTGCTCTCTATATAAGAAATAACTACATCTCCACAGAAATAGAGTACAACAATGATAAAAACTGTCTTGAATGCATTTGGGTCAATATAAAAGGGGGGGGAAATGACATTGCCATAGGTGTATACTACAGACCACCCAACCAAACAGAGGAAATAGATGAACTTTTTGCTAGTCAGCTAACTAAGGTATGTAGGAAGCACATCACAATAGTAATGGGGGACTTTAACTACCCTGACATCAACTGGGAGACAAACTCCGCACCAAGTGGAAGATCAAACAGGTTCCTGGCAAACCTAGCAGACAACTTTGTCTCCCAAAAAGTAGAGAATGGAACTAGGGGATTAGCCATTTTGGATCTAATTCTCACTAACAGAGATGAAATGATAGACGGTGTTGGAGCCATAGGAACCCTGGGAGGAAGTGATCATGCAATATTAGAATTCAACATTATAGAAGCACAACCAATAGAACACAGTCAAACTAGAGTCTTGGACTTCAAGAGAGCTAATTTCAATAAACTTAGAGAGGGCTTGGGAAGGATTCCATGGATGAGAATCCTCAAGGGGAAAACAACTCAAGAAGCTTGGGAAATTTTGAAAAATGAGATAATAAAAGCACAGTCTAGCACAATACCAACAAAGAGGAAAAATAACAGCTCTCAAAAGAAACCAGCATGGCTGCATAAAGAACTCTCTGACAAATTGAAAGATAAAAAGGACAAGTATAGA